AAAAAGGGAGGGAATTCATAAAGAAATTCAAGACACTATTCAAATAAAATTTGAAAAAGATCCAAAGTTATACCTATTGGGAATAGCAGATGATGATGAAATAGAAAAATAATACAGGAAGATATATATATATTTTATGTTGACAGAGGCAAGAGTAATCTATGCTACTACTTGGAACCAAAATAAAACACCAAAGATAATAGAATGGTATTGGAGACTTTTAGAATATATTGAAATGGATAAATTAACCTATATGCTTAGAAATAAACCTAATGAGAAATTTAATAGAAAATGGATATCAATAATACATAAAATTCAGGTTAATATTTATAGGCTAGCTAAATCTTAATAGATAAGATGATTCTTCAGATAAAAGAAGAATAAGAATAGAAACAGATTACAAAAAGAAAGAATAATGCATTAAACAATAAAATATTAATGGAATTAATATATGAATGCAAATGATATATATAACATTTATACAACATCAACAAAGGGTCAGAGAAATTAGAATAACTGATTATGAATTGAAACAAGAAAAAATTGGAAACAAAGGAAAATGTAATAAATACTTGGATATAGGCACAAGGAAGTTTTTCTTTTTATTCTTTTGTTCTGTTGTTTGTCAGTAATGGAGATGAAAGAAGTGATGAATGTTACAAGGTATGTAAGGTTTGTAATGTATGTTTTTATTGTTAAATTTGTATGTCTTTATTACTACATGTTTAATTGTTTTTTTAAGAAAACTAAATAAAGATTATTTGTAAAAAAAGAAAAAAAGAAAATAAAGAGTCTGTGCTGAAGTCCAGGAGGAAATTGATCACACACCAAAACAGGACCTCTTGTTAATCATGCATGAATGGAAAGTAAAAATAGGAAATGAGCAGAATCAAAGATTGTAGGAAAATTTGGCCTAGGAACATAATAAGAAACAGAAGATGAAAAAGATCAATTCTCTACAAAAAACAAGATCAGGAGCAGATTGTGGCACAGACCATAAACTACTAATGTCAAAAAATAGAGTTAAGCTAATGAAGAACACTGAACCAACCATCATTCCAAAATACAACCTGAAGAGCATCTCCATAGAATTCTCACTTCTTGGCCTTTTGGCTAAGATCAAGTGTATTTAAAGATAATGTGAAAAATTGTTGTTGTTGTTAACTGCCCTAAAGTCATGGTAACTGTGAGAAATCAACATGACCCCCTACCCTCCACTGCTCTGCTTAGGTCCTTTGACTGGGAGCCAGAAGAACTCTGGACTGAAGCCAGGGACATTGTCAGGGAAAAATGCAAAAATACACTGTCTGTAGCCAAAAAGAAAAAGAAGCCTCAGTGAATGACAGATGAAACTCCTCAAGCAGTTAATGAAAACAAGAAGCACAAATAAAAGGTGACAGAAATAGAGTTAGAATCCTGAACTCAACTGTTCATTGACTTTTGCACAGGGACAGACAGGATGAGAGCAAATGACTGAACCTTAGTTCTGATAAGGTGGAGAGGCTATTCATTGGTTGTTCATCTGTGATAGGAGATCACAGGCTTTAGGATGGTCACACCACTCTGAACAGTAGTCAGGGGTGCTCTTTAATTCTAAACCTTTTGTCAAAGGCCTAAGTAACCTTGGTGCCATGGAATACTTTTCACTAAGACAGTTGTGCTAACTGTCTCTCTTTGAAATAAATAGATAAAATGCCAAATGATCCTGCAGAACCAAAGTCCATTATGAACAACCATATTTTATCCAGCTTCCAGTAATTTACCATAAGTCTGTAGGCACTACTGTTGTTATTTTACAGTTTCCCCAATTTAATTTAATTTGAATACATACATAACATATTTTAGCTAATAGATGCACACAAGAAATACATGCAATCCCAGGCTAGCCACAATGTGATAGCAAATTAATAGTTGCCTATTCAGTAATCACTATTCCTGGTTGACCAAGATTTAGAAAATTATGTTAAATTCTCATTGTTTGGATAAACGGCTATGTATTAACTGGGAGGGGGTCAGGGAGGGAGATGCAGCTTTGGTTATTACACTTTTTGTCTAATTAAAATCCCATTCAAGCCTCCACTGCAGTATAAATGCCTTCCGAGGCAAGATTCCATTCAATTGAGTGGAAAAAACACAACCCCAGGACATTCTGCGATGTGGCTCATTGGCTTTTGATGAAATAAAATAAATTATCAAATACAGATGAAAACTACTAACAGTGAATGAATATCTGGGAAATACCAAACTGAGGTGTGGGAAGAACCATAAGGATGTAATGAATTGGAAACTGCAGCAGAAGCAAACCAAAGGCCACTTCTTACCAGTGTGGATACTGACTGCCATGTTATCTATTAGATGTATAACTCACTTTCCCGCACAAAATCTGTGAACAATGAAGCTTACAGATTTTTATTTTTTTTAAAAAAAGAAGTAAATAAAGCAAATCCAAATTATCATTCAAATTTTATAATCCAAGCAATAAAATAAGAACTGAATCCAATTAAAACCTGTACTCATCAAGGTCTGCAACACCATAATAGGATGGCCAGATGTCCTAACTGCAAAGGAGGACAAGGGATTATGAAATGTAGGACATTCAAGAAAAATGTGGGATATTACCAAATAAACACTAAAACACTCATATAAATGTAAATTCATGCTTCTTAGTCATGCTCAAAATGGAGAATATTTTTAAATTCCTCCTGGACAGGAGAACATCTAGTCACCCTGCACTTTAACAGTGGAACAAAAAGCAGGATATCCAAGGTTTATAGAGGTGAAGGAGTTTCTTGAAATATACTTGTCACAGGCTTATCAAATTTAATCCCCATCAACAAATGAACACAACCAGTGTAACTGTTATAAGAGTGGAATTATACAGTCCAGTTTTCAACCATCCTATTGGTAGCTGTGGGTATGAAGCCAGGTAGCATTTTTACAGGAAAGTCCTTATCTGTGGTCACTGTCCCTTGGTAAGCATTGATTACCAAGAGTGGCCCTTGGCAGGCCAGTCTGATTTGGAAGCTTGCATTATACAGTCTAGTGCAGCTCTGTCTTTTCCCCTGTCTCTACAGCCACCAAGCAATGACTATGAACTCTCTCACTTTCAAGAGGTCAGGTAAAGCATCATTGATTCAGCACCCCACCCACAACACCACTCCATTAGATGAGATTTCCAAATAGTCATATTGCTATACTTTCTTTTGCAGCAGAATTTTGCAAATTACAGTGTAATCAGAAAACAATTCAGCCTAAATCCCATTGAAATTAATGTATTTTATAGATATAATCAAAATTCCACTCATTTCAAAAGAACTTGGCCACACATAACTTTCTTTGTCCCGAGAGCCTATTGTAGAAAGCAGCAGCAACAATCACATTAATCAAATGCTCTATTATTAAATGAAAAATATATTAAAAATATAGGGCAATATCTGTGTGAGAACTGGGAGCCTTTACTGAAGCTCTAGGATCACTACGAATAAGTTAATAATGCATATTCAGAAAATCTATGTTTTTAATATTCAGCTGGAATGAGTTTCAGACAGATTTATGCAAGGTAGGATGAAAAGATTTCCCTTTTGCTCTCATTCACTTATATCATGTCCATGCTTTAAGAGACACCAAGAGTTTACTACTTGGTGATCTTAGCCAATAGCCTTTTATGGTCCTTTTCTCTGTGAATTTGTCAGATCATTTGGGTTTCATTGGAATAAAATGATAAAATGAAACTAGATATTTCACACAGCAAGAGTGCTAGTGGCACTTATAACTGAAGCTTCTAATATTATGTTATGAAGAAATCTTCCTGGCCAGTACCCATTGAGAAAGGCTAATAATAGCTAAGTGTTCTTTTGGACAATGTTAACAGTTGAAATTGTAGCCTTATATCTCCAAAACTGCATTTGCTGCTCTTTATTAACACACTAGGGACAGCAATAAGGTTAAAAGACCAAAGTATGCTCAGCTGAGGATTCTAATTGGACAATGACAGATCAACTTAGATGTCAGCTTTTATTTTTTTAATTAGTCCTTTTACTCATCATTTCTAAAATTTGTTAGTTCCCAAGGAGAAAATCATCAGTTAGAAATGAAATCTGACAACATTTTATTTTCCTTAGGCTTTTAAGTAGTCAAATGCTGAGTCTACAATACAGTGACTAATATCCAATAAAATAAAATGAAAACACAGACAGTTGTGAAGTAATCTCGTTTTGTGGTTCGTTTCTGAGCCAACAAAATAATTAGTGCAGAAAACTTTTCAAACAAGAGAATGGGTATGGATTAATGAATTCATTCTCTTAATTATAACTCAAAGAGAAAGTCTCACTAGTACATTAAACTGCCATCCAAGAAGAGGCTGAATGCCCCATTACTCTTAAACATGTTGTACCAAGAGTACTGCCGATGGCTGACAAAATAATGACTACTATAACATCAGATACACAGCTGAGCACAGAGTAAAAATAAAGATCTTAATTGCATTTGCCATTCCTCCCATAAGTATATCTTCCACATACTTCTGATCCTTTAATCTATGACAAAAAGAGTAAATTATGGATTAATTCCTTTTTATTCAGAGCTTGGTCACATGTTCTGCTGCTGGCTATGAGTAATACTAAATATTATTGTTGACTGCCATGAGAGTGGTGCCTACTATGCCATTCCAGTTATTAAACAAATCACATTGTGCATCAATGGAGAGATCATGTCCCAAACAAAAGAAACAGTAAAGGAACAGTATAGCAGTAAACATACCTTAGCAAACATCTCTTTCACCTATAAGATATGTTTGTGGTTCTAGCTCTAATCTGCTGCTTGTACTGCTTGAGACAAAATTACACATCCGTGCCATTGGGTTTATTACTATTGGACCAAGTTATAGGCCAAGGCTTATTAGGGAATGTATGAACTTAAAGATGTCCTTCCTGTCTCAAAATCCCCTTCCCTAAGGACAAATTTTCTTAGATTTTTCTATTTGACTAGAAACAGCACAGAGAGCCAGTGTGGCATAGTGGTTTGTGTATCAGAATACAACTCTGGAGATCAGGGTTTGATTCCCTGCTTGGCCATGAAACTCATTGGGTGACCTTGGGCAAGTCAGAGGCTCTCAGCCTCAGGGGAAGGCAGTAGCAGACCTCCTCTGAACAAATCTGGCCAAACCCCATGATAAGTTCACCTAAGGTTGTCTTAAGTCTTAACAAGAGACATCAAAGCTCTCCGGTGGGATGTAAATAATGCAGAACTTTGCAAATCTGTTCAGTTCCAGGCTCAAATGGGACTTGCTGTCTGGGAAGGGTAGGTATGATTGCAGCTGATATCTTTCTACTGGCTTTATCTGCCTTTGGAACATTTTAAATCTCATCCTTTTGAAGTAATACACAGTGAATCCAATATTATACTGTTTGAGGCTTCTGCCACACTGTGCATTAATGTAGTTTAACACTACTTTAATTGTCATAGCTCCAACCAATGGAATTCTGTGATTTGTAGTTTGTTGTTGCACCAGAGCTCTCTGACAAAGAATGCTAAATATCTCACAAAACTACAAATCCCAGAATTTCATAGCATTCAGCCAGGGTTGTTCAAGTAGTGTTAAACTGCATTAATTCTGCAGTGCAGATGCAGCCTGAGAGTCTGTGTTTTTAATGCTGAGTTATGTGAGAAACTGTCTAGGGTTCCATGAATTTTTAATGCTTTTTGCTGTTGTTAACCATTTTTGGGTCGATCTTGACTCATGGCTACCCTGTGGATGAGACTTCCCCAAGACTCCAAGATTATCCTCCACTACTTTCCTTAGTTCTTGCAGATTCATACCTGTGGCCTTCTTAATGGAGTCCATTCATCTAGCATGTAGTCTTTCTCTCTTTCTCTTTCCTTCCACCTTTCCTAGCATTATGGTCTCTTTTAATGAGTCATGTCTTCTCATGATGTGGCCAAAGTATGACAGTCTCAGTTTAATCACCTACATATCTTAGATTGTTGATATTCCTTCCTCCTATTTTCACTCCTCCTTCTTCTATGTCTAAGCCTGCTTTTTGTATAATATTTTCTGCATAGAAATTGAACAGGTAGGGTGAAAGGATGCAGCCTTGCCTGATCCCTTTGCCAATCAGGAACTATTCTTTTTCTCCATGTTCTGTTCTGACTGTAGCCTCTTGTCCTGAGTAGAGATTCATCATCAGTACTATTAGATGTGTTGTTGCCAAGGAAGCACCTGGAAGGTCAGTGCCAGAATACTTTTAATGCTGTAGCTCTGCTTATTGTTGATGAAATGAGTGGTGTGGCAGCTGTATTCTTGCTTGGGGGCTATGTCTGAGCTACATAGCATGACACCTTATATTGAGTTGGATCATTGATCCATATAACTCTGTATTGTCAGGAGTCTTTTCACTCAGGAGTGTTTTCTAGCCCTCCTTAAAGGAGGATTGAACTATGTCTCTAATCTCTCACATAACTGATGAAAGAAAAAGATGCTTGAAAATACTTTCTTTGTGGCTGTGGGTAGGACTACATGACTTTTACCATTCTGTTTGGATGGTAACATTTCTTAATTGTATTTAATCTAAAATTAAATATATGTTTGCACACTTTTATTATTTATGGATTTCCTCTGGTATCCTTGTCACTAGTTCTTTAAATTTTTCTAAACCTTGTAAAGCAGTTTTGTGATCTAGCAGAATATAAATGAAACACACTGCATACAACAGTGGTGCCAATCAGGCTGCCAAGGGGCCTCAACTATGTAGAGACAATAGTTTATACCAAAAGGCTTCTCCGCAATGGGGGAGAATGAGTATATTGGGCTGCAGGGATAATCTACATTTGACTACATATTTGGAAAGCATGGCTTTCTGGAAACTCACATAAAAGGATTTCAGGGTAATGTTGAGCACTGACAAATATCTATTCACATTGGAAACAAATATTGATTGCTTATGGCCTTGAGTGTTTCTTGTAGCAGGCACTTATTAATTCTATTAATGTATTTCAGGTGCCATTGAAATATCAGCTAAAGTTAAATTTGATGCAAATTTCTTTGGCAATACATTGTGATATTTTCAGGCTGCAAAAGACTAATTTCCAGAGAGGTAGCCATGCTAATTTTCTGAGGAAAGAAGAAAACGCTCATAGGCAATACACTTCATATAGCCCTACCCTTTCTGGACTATAGACTTTGACTATTTAATTAGAAGCATGAAACATATGGAATTCCAGGTGTGTCTGCACATGCATAGATTTGTGCAAGATCACCCGGTGGGTTTCCATGGCCAAATGAGGATTTTAACCATGGTCTCCAAAGTCCTAGTCCAACATGCAAATCACTACACCATGTATATGCTTGTGTGACCCTTCAAGTCATCTGTTGATTTATGGTAACCCTATGAATTTCATAACAGGCATAAACTATAGGAATACATAATAACAAGCATAATAAGAACAGCTACTGGGCTGCAGCGGTAGTGGTGGGTGACACTGAAGTAAACTCTCACAGAGAGAAAGTCAGCACTGTGTGAAAGGAGGGAAAAGGTGTCCCTCCTTGCGAGACTATTTCACCAAGGAAACCCTTTAGATGAGACAGTTCAAAAACCAACTAGAGAGGGGGAGGCCAGACATAAAACATGTCCAATAAAAAGTAGAAACAACACTACACTACACATGTAATTCAAACATGAAATGTGAGAAGCATGAGCCAGGGAAAACTAGACATAGTAAAGAAGAAAATGGAATGCAGTAATATAGCAATACTAGGAATGAGTGTGTTAAAATGGACAGGAATGGGTCACTTTGACTTTGACAACTATACAGTAATCTATTCAGGAAATGAAAAAAAAAAACAAGAAGAAATGGGGTGGCTTTCATGCTAGGGAAAGACATAGCTAGAGCACTCAAATGATACAACTCAAAGTCAGACCATACATTATCAACAAGGCTTCAGGGTAAACCTATAAACATCACAATAATCCAGGTATATGCACCAATTACAGATGCACATGAAGAGGAATCGAGAGATTCTATGATGCAGGCCAGGAAGAAAGTGACAACTTATCACAAGATTTCAAACTAATCATTGGAGACTTGAATGCTAAAATTGGCAACAAAGAAGAATCAAAAACAGTAGGAAGATTTGGATTAGGAACAATAAATAAAGCAGGAGAGCATCTCATAGAATTCTGTGAGGCCAATAATCTATTCATTGTAAATACCTGCTTCATACAACCAGATAGGAGACTATATACCAGATGGTACACCCAATGGTAAACACAAAAACCAGATAGACTACATAATTGGAAGTAGAGGATGGAAAAACTCTATCCTTGTGACCAAAACCAGACCAGGAGCTGATTGTGGTACAGACCACAAACTGCTCATAACAAAAATTAGAGTTAAGCTGAAGAAGAAAGCAAAAACCATCATTATACCAAAATATACTGATATAAAAATAAAATATACCTGAATAACATTTCAGATGAATTCGAGGACAATGTAAGAAACTGATTTGAACTATTGAGTATAATCGACCAGGAACCTGAAGAACTCTGGACAGAAATCAAAGACATAATTAAGGATGAATGCAAGAAAACACTAACAGTGGCCAACAAGAAAGATAACAAACAATGGATGACAGATGAAACACTTCTTTCAATAAAAGAAATAAGAAAAGCAAAAGCACAGGGAGAGAGCAACAAAGCCAGAAATATGAACACAACTGTCCAATGTCTGACAAGCAGGGATAAGAAAAAATACTACAATTACAAATGCAGAAAAATAGAAGACAACACCAAAAAGGGAAGAATGAGAGACCTCTATAAAAAAAAAATCTTAGAAATTAAAGCCAAGTTCAAACTGAGGGCAGGGATGCTCTATGGAGGAAAAAAAAAGAACATAATACAGGAACAAGAAGAAATAAAAAGTAACTGGAAGCAATACACAGAAGAGTTATACAAAAGAGATGAAGGAATGACTGATATTTGGAATGAGGAGCCATATGAAGATAAACCCCAAATTCTAAGAATCTGCAATAAAGGAAATGGGGAAAAAATAAATCATCAGGAACAGATGATATCACAATTGAACTGCTACAGTGCCTACAGAGAGATGCAACTTTAGTGCTAACTGAAATATGTCAACAAATATGGAAACAAAGTGGTAGCCAACAGACTGGAAACGCTTGATATACATACCAATCCACAAGAAAGGAGATACAAAAGACTGCAGCAACTATAGGACAATAGTCAGGGGGTTGGACTGGATGGCCCTTGTGGTCTCTTTCAACTCTATAATTCTATGATTCTAATAGTACTAATCTCACATGAAAGCAAAACAATGCTCAAAATTCTGCAGCATAGACTCCAACCATACATGGAGAAAGAAGTTCCAGAGGTGCAAGCAGAATTCAGAAAAGGAACAGGCACTAGGGACCACATTGCAAACATCAGTTTCTGCTAGGAAGGAGAAGGAAAGCAGTTCCTAAGCAGCCATATTGAGTGAGTGAGTGTTTAAATTATTTTTAAAAACACTTGGGAAGAGTGTGACTGTTGCTGAGCTAGCCAATTAGCTCTATACAACTCCTCCCAGAGGCTTTCTAGGTCAGTTCCTCCTAGGAAGGAGAAGGAAAGCAGTTTCTGGGCAGCCATTTTGAGTGGGTGAGTTTTTAAATTCTTTTAAAAAACACTTGGGGAGAGTGTGACTGTTGCTGAGTGGGTGGGGCCTTGGTGAGTCACATTTGTGAGCCAATTAGCTCTATACAACTCCTCCCAGAGGCTTTCCAGGTCAATTTCAGCAAGGAAGGAGAAGGAAAGCAGTTCCTGAGCAGCCATTTTGAGTGGGTGAGTATTTAAATTTTTTTTTTAAAACACTTGGGGAGAGTGTGACTGTTGCTGAGCTAGCCTATTAGCTCTATACAACTCCTGCCAGAAGCTTTCTAGGTCAGTTCCTGCTAGGAAAGAGAAGGAAAGCAATTTCTGGGCAGCAATTTTGAGTGGGTGAGTTTTTAAATTCTTTTTTAAAAAAACTTGGGGAGAGTGTGACTCTTGCTGAGCTATCCAATTAGCTCTATACAACTCATCCC